CGCCTGCTCCCGCCTGCGGGACAACCGGGGTGGCGGCATAGCGGCGGCAGCGGCCGCGGCAGTGGCTGTTGCCGACGCCGAGTCATCCGGGTCCTGCTCAGACTTCTGGCGAGCTACATGCTGGTTTTGCAGTGTCGGCGGACGCTCAGCTGAGTAGTCAAACGCAAACGTGGGACCGGCGTGTGCATGGGAGCCGCCGCCGGCGTCGGCCTCGGCGTCGCTGCTGCCGCCGCTGCCGCCGCTGCCGCCGCTGCCGCTGCTGTCGCTGCCGCCGCTGCCTGTTGGAGGTGGGGTCGGCCGGCAGGGACAGCAGTGAGAGCCAAGACAAACTTTTCGGCCGTGGATCAGCAGGCGCAACGATGATTGAGGGATGGCAGCGATGTGGCAGCGAGTTGTGGAGTGTTTGCGAGCACGCTCAGCAGCGTGCGGGCAGCCGAGGCCGATCCTGGTGGCGGAATCGCGAGCGTGCAGCCGCCGCAAGTGCGCAGCACAGCGCGCAGCATATATATGAGGGAAGCCAGAGTGGTTTGAATGGGCGTTGAGATGGAGGGGTGAGGCTCTGCTCGCTTCAGCCGCGGTCGCACCAACCTCAGCCGTCCATCCGCGCTGTGGGAGGCCTGCAGCTGCTGGGTGTTAGCTTGGTGGGCTGCTCGTTGGCTTGGATTGGGGCGCTCACGCCGCCGCGGCGCACAAGCGCCAATCTTCAAGCAACAGCTGGACCACAGCGGCCGCCGCGCCACCGTGAGACCGCCAACCCGGCAGCAGCACCCAACGCGCACCCGCGTCACCGCCGCTGCCGCCGTCCCCACCCTCCAGCGCGCCGCGCCACAGGGGCGCCTGCGGCCCGGATAACATCAGCGAGCCCTCCTTAGCAGGGTCCAGATCGCGGTAGCGCTCCGCGTCAAGGGCGCCCTCCGCCGCCCCGCCCGGCCGCGACGGCGGCGGCGGCGCGGCGGCGCCCTCGGTGGGGTAGGGGCGCTCCCAGCGCGACACTTCGTCGAGCAGCAGCCTCCCATCAAAGCGGTCCACGCGCTCCGCGCCGCAGGGGACCAGGTGCTCGTCGCTGCTCGCCCAGGCTGCAGCTCGCGGGTCGTCAAGCGGGGTGGCGGGCAGGCCGAGGACCAGCAGGTTTGCAGCGCCTGCGTCGTTGTCCGGGGCGCCTGGGGCGGCGCGGAGGCCCGCAAAGGCGTCCGTGCCGCCTTTGGGCCGTCTCTTGGGGCCGTCCTTCGGCCTCATACAGGCTCAGCGGTGTGCAGCATAGAGGGGACTTGGGGTGAACAGTCGCAGTCACTGCGGTATGGAACATGCCATGGATAGCTCAGCGCAACCAAAAGCTTGTAAAGTTCGGAAAGAACTACGACAACTGTACGGTAGTCACTATGATAGAATGAAGCGCATTGATGAATGACACCACCGTACTGCAACTTGATCTGCCTATACCATACGTCGATCTGACTCTCTTTGTGCTGTTCTGAGTCGCAATGGAATCTGCCATCGTAGCTCTTGAACAGCGGGCGGTGGAGGCCGAGGCACGCATGTCTGCGCTGGAGAAGCAGCTTGCATCGGGTGCGCTCCCATCCTCAACGGAGAGGCGGCGGCGCAAGGCCAGCCGCCCGACCCTGCCTATTACAGTCCAGGACGGCCAGCGAACCGTAGTGCCTGAGCCACCCAATCCATCGCCCGCAGGCACCAAGAGCGGCCCGTCGGGGGTTGTAGCAGCAGACTTACAGGAATTGCGGGCGCTGCTGGTTGCGGCACAGGGCGAGCAGCAGGCGCTGCGGGAAGAGCGGGATGAGGTGCGCCGGTGGGGCGGGCAATTACGCCAAGGCTGGGCCGCTCGCGGCTCTGCAGCCCGTGCTCTAAAACCCTGGCTCAAGCCCCGCTCGAGACGCCCGGAAGGAGCAGGCGCCGGTGCAAGAAGATGCGGGCGTGTGCTGGCGCGCTTGTGGCGGCCAAGTGGCGCCTGCTAAGGCGTTGGAAGACCGCGTGCAGGCGCACACCTATTTTCCACGGTCTGACGACAGCCCCAGCTTTTGCGCTGCACCGCACTGTGCCGCTCCGCAGGCTGTCAAGGCGGCAGCGAAGGCGGAAGAGGCGGCGTCAAAAGCGGAATACCGCGCCACGCACCTGGCGCGCGCGCTGCGGGAGGCCGACGCCGCACTGGCCGCGGCCAAGGCGTCGTGACGGCGCTGGGCGGCGCGGCGCGACACGGGGCGGGGCGCGGCAGGCCGGGGCGGGGCGGGGCAGGGCGGGGCACGGTGAAGCGGGCGGGGCGTGCGCCACCTGCCTGAACAGAGGCGGCAATCGGCAAAGCGGCACCGGCTGCCCTCTGATGCGCGGCCCAGTGGCCGCGCACACCTCGCAAGGCTGAGTCGCATGCGCCTGTCAATGCAGGCGCCACGCATTTCTTTCGGCCGGCTCGGCTTGCGGCCGGTTCGCCACCTTCCAGATGTACCTTTCCAGACGCGCTGTTTCCAGGCAGACTGCTAGAGCAGTGCGAGCGGCACTCTCTGCAGCGGGCTTTGCCGGTCACCCCAAACGGGCTGGAAGCTGCGGCACCGCGAGCATCCTTGTAACTTTCTTGTGGCAACGGGACTGGCCCACGCAGCAGCCAGGACATGCGACTGCTTCGCTCTGCTTGCTCCGGCTAGTTTGCTTTGTCGCGGCGAGGCGGAGAGGGTGGCGGAGGCTGTTGCTCGCGCGAGCCCGCCAGCACATGGTGACTGGTGACCACTTCACTGCAGAGGGCAGGCAATCTGTGTGTGCCTATCCCTGGCCATTGGTGCCGCCGCTGTTGCTGCTCCTCCCGCTGCTCCTGCCGCTGCTGCTGCCGCTGCCGCTGCCACTGCTGGTGCTGCTGCCGCTGCCGCTGCCGCTGCTGCTGCCGCTGCTGCTGCCGCTGCTGCTGCTGCTGCCGCTGCTGCTGCGAATTTCGATGGTGCATGCAGGCAGCCAGTAAGGTTCACTACCACATGTTACATCGTCGCAGCAGTTGGTGAGGGTGATACAACAGAGTAGATTAGTAGTGATGACAGTATACACATGGCTGCGCCATTCACACTCCCGCAAAAAAATGCACTTGCTGGCATCGATCACCACCAACGGCGTGCTACACGCCTACTCCCTCTGGCAAGATGGGATGAAACCGCACTGGTAAATCAATGGACGGATTACTAACGCCGACTTCTGAACGGCTGTAAACCACTCTGCAGCTGCATGAAGCACAAAGAATGAAAGCTTCTCCGTCTCCGACGAAAAACCGTCTCTACGGCGCCGCCACGCCGCCACCTGCCCGCGCGAGCGGCCCCGCGGTCGCGGCAGCATTGCCACCCCCGTCACCCCCGCCGCCGCCGCCACCGCACGCGACGCGCCGCAGCCACTCCGCCGCGCTGGTGCACGGCGGGCCCCCGCTAGCCGGCTGGCCAAGCGCAAGGCCGAGGGCGCTGATCACATCCAATGCCTCCTGCGTGTCCGCCGCCTCCTCCGCCTCCTCCAGCCGCTCGAGCAGCTGCCCCGCACCTTCCTCGCAGGCGCGCAGGTCCGCCAGCTGCTGCGCCATCGCGCGCGCCCAGCCGCCGCCGCCCCTGCCGCCCGCGCCGGCGGCCGCGCCGCCGCCGCCCGCGGCGCGCGCGGGCTTGGCCCACGCCTGCAGCGCGTCGGCCAGCCCGAACAGGCGCAAGCCTGGGGCCGCAGCCGCAAACAGCTCGTCGTCGCTCATCCGCGCCGCCGCCTCTGACACGGCGTCCGCCTTTGCCCCGCCGCGACGCCCCGCCCCACCATCCGAAGCGCCAGCGCCGCCCGCCTCCTCAATGCTGAGCCGCACGCTGTGC